GCAATTGATTGTTTCTTGAAATATAATTAAAAAAAAAACAAGCTTAGAAAATGTGTATATGAAAACACTGACCTATATGCAGAGAAAAGGCAGCATTTACTTTGTGAAGCTATCAGGTGGTAATTCAATTTCCTGTTAACTGAACTTCAAGTATTCTGTTTCAGGTCATAGATTGGTGACACTTATCATATAAATTGGCCAATAAGATTTACAAATAGTACCTTTAGTGCTTGGTTTTGTGCTTGTATCTCTAGAAAAGAAAATCAATTTAATTCTGCACATTGGTTTTCTCCTTAAAATTTAGGCAATTTGAATATGATTGACAAGGCATGGCATCATTATGCAGTCTGTTAGATGGACCGATTATGCTTATGAATACAGGAGTGCAGTGAATGAAAGCAACGTGTAATTGATTCTACACTTGGTCTGACTGTTCATTAACAGTTTGAATGTAGCACGTCCCTTCTCAAATGGAAAACGATGAGAGCAACCTATATGTGCTCTCTCATTTGTTTTAAAATTCATTATGCTAATATTTTTTCTCAGAATGTTTTTGCGGCATTTGCTTTGCCAAGGATAAGTCTGATTGAATGATTGCAAATAATTCTACTGCTTTCCATATTTATTTGGCATTTCAATTGCACATTTTTTTCAATTTACATTTCTGAAAATGAGAGCGGGCTCTCCCCCTCATCCCCTTGAAAGAAAACCTTCTATCCTACCCTCCTTTTCTATATTGTTCAGGCTAATTTCCCTGGGTAGAAAGTGGAGGGAGTGTAAGATGTCGGTTATAGCTTTGAAACAAAAGGGATGATTTATAGACTGATTGAATTCAGAAATAGATGAGCAAAAGCAGGTTCCATTTGTCTTGCCATACTTTAGTCTGATGAAGCACAAAAGGGCCTGCCATCTCATTTTCTATCCCTCTTGAAGGGCCTGCATTTGAAATGTTGATTAAATGTACAGATTGCCTTGCTGTTTCTCACCTTTCCTGAGTGCTGTAAGAAAGGGCTTCGAACACAGGGAGGCTGCTTTTCCTCTCTTGAATGTGGAGCTGGACACTGTAGGTAAATATAATCACTTTTCTGCTCCTAGAAAGATATGATGCTGATTCTGTAATAGCCATGCCTGCCCTTTCTTTTCCCTACTAATTCCTGCCAGATTATTAGAAGACAAAAGAAGCAGCAAAAGTAGTGTTGGACCAGGCAATCCTATCTAGGAGCTACAAATACGCTGTTATCTCCAAATTAGATTGTGTGCACAATTAATACACATATTAATATCATACTCCAATCTTTGTCTAATTCTGATTTTTATTAAATCAGTAGTTGACATAATAAGATAATAGGTCTGAGAACTCCATATTGGTAATATATTTAATTGTATCACCTTCTATATGGTTTTTTAAATTTATCTGCCACAAGTCTTTGTAATTCATCAATGAGCTCACCAAAATAAGGCCCGAAGTGTGTCAGGAGTCCTGCATTGTACAGTTTTAAAATATGTCCACAAATTCTTTGTTGCTCCTGCCATCAAGAGGTGGGGTCTATGTCCCTCCACGTGAGACAGGGTGGGCTTTTGTAACAGTTGCAACCAGTAAGTAGTGAAAGTGATCCTGTGTGACTCCCAAAGCTGGGTTATAAAAGGGACACAGCTTCCACCTGCTGGTTCACTTGCTTTTGAAGTCAAGAGCAGCCATATAAGCAATCTGACTTCTGCAATGCAGCCATGCTGTGAGGAAATGCAAACTAGTCAGAGAGAGAGAGAGCATGAGAGAGATATGACAGTCCAGCCCTTAGCTGCTACAGCTCCCCACGCCCCCCACTGTCCCAATGCCAGTCACTAGCTGATGGTAACCATCTGAGACCCTATGCCAGAAGACCTAGTTAAGCCCTTCCAGAATTTCAGATCCACAGATACCATAAGATATTAAAAAAAAAAAAAAAAATTGATGATTGTTGTGTTAAGCCACCATGTCCATGTTTTGGGATGATTTGTTACACAGCAATCCCTAACCAGAATCTGTATGTATACAAAAGTAATGGGATTCATGATAAAATGCCAAATTTTACATATATGAATAGATGACATTGCCTTCAATAAATAGTTATGTTGGGAGATATTTATTCATAATCATATTATCACTGTGATATTGTGTCTCCCCACACTGATACGTGACTTTTTTACATATTGCTCTGCCTCTCTGGGTCCCTTCAACAAGGAGGGGTGTATTAAATGATCAATAGTATCCTATTTCTCTTCTGAGGCACCTCTAGGCGGACTGGAACCTTCAACCTTTCTATTCATAACTTAGCTCCTTAACCATCTGCACCACACAGGGACTCTTTTACCATACGAAATGCCCAGGAGTTCCTGCGCTAAGTAACGAGTTTGACTAATTTCACCCAGCAATTCTCAAATTTTATTGACCTTTAAACTCACATCTTACTGAACTCATGTGGGAATGCTGCTCTGTACAATCCTGTGGTGTTCCTTTCAGGCTTTTCTTCCATTTATATTCCTTATTTGATTTAGAATATCCTAATTAGGTACAAAAAAACAAGTAGTAGCCACACCATCAGTGGGGTTAAGGGTGGAGTAAAGCTAAGCATAATCTCCTTTCACATACATTTAAAAGTAGAAATTAATGTTAAAATATTCCTATAAAATTCATTACGTGGGGTTCAAGACATGCATTATTTGAATACATACATCTATCATTACTATTATTATGAAAATGATATCACCGTTTGCTATTTTTCGGTATACACAACCTCATCTCCCTTTATCCTTCCCTCCCTATGTTGTAGTGGTTCCTACTTTAAAGCTTGATTTAAATGTAAAATAATATCCGCATTAATTCATGGGTGAAGTTTTTCTGCCTATTTTGACAACAAGATACCATCTTTTTTTTTTTTTTTTTACTTTGGTATAAATTGAATATTTTTTTTAAATTTTATTGTTGTTGTTGAGAATATACACAGCAAAATATACAATTAACCAGTTTCTACATGTACAATTTAGTGACATTGATTATCTTCTTCCAGTTGTGCAACCATTCTCACCCTCCTTTTCTGTGCTGTTCCTCTTCCATTAACATAAACTCACTGCCCCCTACAAGATCCTGACGAATCAGTTTGTTGCATAGTGCCAGGGGCCTTAAAAGTTTGCAAACGGCCATCCAAGGGACAACAATTGGTCTCCATCCACCTGGAACAACAGAGAAAGACTGTCAGGAATGGGAGGAGGATATGGAATGAGTGGCTAATTGGCTCCATGAACTACTGCCTCTTTTGCCATGAGACCAGAAGAACTGAATGGTGCCCGGCTACCATTTACTGAACATTTTGATCAAAGAGTTCATAGAAGAATCTTGATCATAAGGGGGAAAATGCAGAACAGAATTTAAATTTCTCATGGACTCCAGACTTCTGGAGCCATGGAGGGTGGATGAATCCCTAAAACTATTGCCCTGAGATAATCTTTAAACCTTAAATCAAAAATATTCCCTAAAGTCTTGTTAAAACTAACAATAGTTTAGCTTAATTAGTAAAAAAAGGTCTCCCTTGAACATTATGCTCTTTTAAGAATTCTGTATATGCGATCAAATTGACAACAAGATACCATCTTTAATATTGTTTGACAAGAGTTTACAAACTAAGAATTAATTGTTGAAACCAATGTTTTGGGGATTTTCTCAAACATCAGAGAGTCATCTCAGCATTTGTCAAGCAATTAGCAACTGTTTTTATTTAGAAATTTATTTGCTGCTATTCATGTTTCATATGCAATTTAAAACTGTGCCACTGTTCTTATTTTTATAGTTTAATCTTATTTTGAAGTTAAGTGATACTGTTCAGCCAAAGCAAACAATTTTGTTTTATTCTAATATTCCAGTAATAGTAGGATAAATTTGTCTCTTTCATCAAAGTTGATTAAATTCACAGACAAAATTGAGAAACAGGAAATATAATACATTTTTAAGTAATTTAGATTAAAATTTGGCATTTTTTTCCTAATCTTTCTTGACTTTAAGATTCTGTTAAAACCTTTGCTGTCAAGTCGATTCTGGCTCATAGCAACCTTGTAGGACAGAGTAGAACTGCCCAATAGGTTTTCGAAGGCTGTAATCTTTATGGAAGCAGATTACCACATCTTCTTCCTGCAGAGTGGCTAGTGGGTTTGAACTGTCCACCTTTCGATCAGAAGCCAAGCGCTTAACCACTTCACCACCAGGGCTCCTTGTCTTTAAGATTAGGACAGTCTTACCATGATGGCTGGTTTTATATGCAAAAAAAAAAAAAAAAAAAAAATCACATTTTGTGTTTTAAAATGTAAATAGAAGTTACAGAGCATAGATTGCTCTTTGGAAATGTTTAATACAGTGAAAAATAAATGTTAGGTAGTTATTATCTCCAGCATACCTCAAGTATATAAGGATTGTTAGGTTGCATTTTAAAATTGGTAGGAATGTTTTGAAGTTATTCCTCTTGGGGTCATTACTGATCATTATAAATTCCTCTGACATATTTTCAGAAACTTGCCCTTCTTTATTGTATACAATTCCTAAAACTATTGTCTTATTTACAAGTAAAATAATGTTTGGCATTGACTCTTCCTTCCCATGTCAATTCAGAGTGCTCATTTTACAGGTAATTATTTATCAGTTTATTTCCTACCAAGGATTTGTCTTTTGCCAGGGTACCAATTATGCACATTTTATATTATAATCTGTCTCACTTGCATCTGACCAGTAACGATTGGATTATTTACTGGCAGGGGATTCCTCTTAACAGTTATCACCTTTCTGGGAAATTGCCTATTCTAGGAGGCTGTGCTAGCTAAAATATTTTACCAAAGGACAATTTACATCATCAATAATTTTTAGTTTATATGTCTCCAGGCTCCAACACAAATGCCTAAAATAAATAAAGCACCAATTATGTGAAATGTGAAAAATACCTTACTTACCATATTTTTCCTTCCTTTTGCATTTACAGATGTCATCCATACTGTAGGACCAATAGCTAGAGGACATATTAATGGTTCCCACAAGGAAGACCTTGCAAATTGCTATAAATCGTCTCTGATACTGGTGAAAGAAAATAACATCCGATCAGTTGTAAGTACTTTCACGTTCCTCATTTTTTATTCTTTTTCAGGCTTTATGTTTTGGAAATCAATATTGTCCAAAAAGATAAATTATATACAAAACAGCATCTGCATGAACTCATGGGTGAAGTTTTTCTGCATATTTTAATCACAAGATACCATCTTTCATATTGAATATCTTCAATCCTGAAAACTAAGTTTAAGGGTCTTAGCAAGTTATACAGCTTACTGGTTATCATGACGCTACTCTTTGGTGAGCCGTAAGTGTTTGCTTAATGGTTCGTGACATTTCAAGATTTAAAACCATTGAAATCCAGAAATGGACCTATGTCATCTACTTTCTTCTTTCTATTTAGCCAATATCTTTGGAAAAAATAAAGATGATGGTGATGGTCAACAGATTTAAAGAAGGGAAATAGCAAGTGTTTTGAGTTTATCATTGTATTGTCCATTTTGTTGTATATTGGTAGTATGTATTTATGCTTAGAACTCAGTTTAATCTTTATCTACATGTATGAGCGTGTATGTGCATATATAAATATGTTAGTTCAGAAATGGTTCATTTGCTGAAATTTACTATGTGTGTATGTGTGTGTGTTTTAACTTGAAAGTTGTTATTCTTTTAGATTTAGTTTGCTTTCCTAAACTGCATATGCCACATGGCTTTTAAGTTTTATCAATTTAGACAGAGAGTTCAGAAAATGTGGATTTAATCTATTTTCTTACCAGTAGGCAGAGATGAAAAGAATTCTCTTCTAGCTGGATTTGGAGGTATTTATTCACCTGCTTTTATTTTGTAGCATTTTATATCTTTGTTACATTGCAATTACACAAGGAAAATAAAACCATGAGAAAAATGACAGTGTAAATATCCAATATCAAGTTACTTTTTCCAGGATCCTTTGGTTGACTTAGAATTTTGCTGAAATTGTGGGTCAGGAAGATAGTTAAATACTTGACTTCTTAGCAGATTGAATGGATCAGCATTGCTTGGCAGTTCACAAAAGTGGTGGTTTTATTATTTCTGTGAAGGAATATTGAGAAACAGACATGGATGGGCGCTGTACTCTTCACGCATGATTATAATTATGAAGTGCCTTTTTCAATGCAACTTTGGTGAATTTGCTTGAAATAAACATTTTTGCAAGCCAATTATTCAGCCTTTTTAATCTTTGTACAATTTGTAACAGAGATGGATATTTATTTCACTCTGATACTTAAAAATACTGTTTTCAAATGGATCAATATGCAAGAACCTCTTCTGTCTGAGAGGAAAAAGTAAACTACTAAACCAGTTGGTTGATTTTGTTTTCTACAGGAAAATAAGGAAAATCAAAACAGGTGTGCATGTTCTGGTAGTAATTAAAATTTTGTCAATATGGCTATTGATTTTTTAAAAATTAAGAAACTGAAGTGCTTGAAAAAAATGGATATGTATAGAAGTCTCTAACTTGGATTGTACAGATCTGGAGACCTGATGGAAACTCGCTAATGAATTCATTGGCATCCCTGGCAATTTGTTTCTAAAAGCCAAGAACAAGTAAAAAGAGGCCAGCTCATTAGAAACAGGGTAAAAGCAAAACTTATCCTCTTAATAGGAAAAAGAAACATCCCTAACTATGATCATCTTAAAGCAATTATATTTGTTGTCATGATACTTGCTACCATTAGGTAAAGAATAGAGGAATTATGTTGTTGTTAGGTGCAGTCCAGTAGGTTCTGATTCAAAATGACCCTGTGTACAACAGAACAAAACACTGCCCAGTCCAGCTCCATCTTCATAATCATTGTTACGTTTGAGCCCATTGTTGCAGCCACTGTGTCAATCCATCTCGAGGATCTTCCTCTCTTTCGCTGACCCTTTACTTTACCAAACATGATGTCCTTTTCCAAGGACTAGACTGTCTTGATAACATGTACAAAGTATGTGAGATGAAGTCTCACCATCCTTGCTTGTAAGGAGCATTCTGGCTGTATTTCTTGCAGGGCAGTTCTGTTCGTTCTTCTGGCAGTCCATGGTGTATTCAATATTCTTTGCCAACACCATAGTTCAAAGGCATCAACTCCTCTTGAGACTTCCTATTCATTGTCCACCTTTCCCATGCATATAAGGCAGTTGAAAATACCATGGCTTGAATCAGGTGCACCTCAGTTTTGAACACTTTTAAAGAGGTCTTTTGCAGTAAATTTGCCCAATGCAGTACGTTGTTTGATTTCTGGACTGTTGCTTCTCTGGGCATTGATTATGGATCCAAGTAAAATGAAATCCTTGACAACTTCAATCTTTTCTCCATTTATCATGATGTTGCTTATTGGTCCACTTGTGAGGATTCTTGTTTTCTTTATGTTGTGGTATAATCTACACTGAAGGCTGTAGTCTGATCTTCATCAGTAAGTGCTTCAAGTCCTATTCACTTTCAGCAAGCAAGGTTGTATCGTCTGCATATTGCAGGTTGTTAATGAGTCTTCCTCCAATCCTGATGCCATGTTCTTCTTCATATATCATATAGTCCAGCTTCTCATATTTTCTTAGCATAAATATTGAATAAATATGGTGAAAGGATACAATTCTGACGTCCACCATTCCTGATTTTAAACCACACAGTATCCCCTTGTTCTGTTCAAATGACTGCCTCTTGGTCTATTACTCATGAGCACACTTAAGTGTTCTGGAATTCCCATTCTTTGCAATGTTATCCATAAATTAATATGATCTACACAGTTGAATACTTTTGCATAGTCAATAAAACACAAGTAAACATCTTTCTGGTATTCTCTGCTTTCAGCCAACACCCATCTGACATCAGCAATGATATCCTTCATTCCATGTCTTCTTCTGAATCCAGCCTGAATCCCTGGAAGTTCCTTGTTGATGTACTGCTGCAACCCTTTATTGAATTATCTTCAGCAAAATTTTACTTTTGTATGATATTAATGATATTTTTTGATAATTTCTGCGTTCTGTTGGATCACCTTTCTTTTGAATGATACAAATATGGATCTCTTCCAGTCAGTTGGCCAAGTAGTTGTCTTCCAAATTTCTTGGCATATACAAGTGAGAACTTCCAGAACTGCATCCATTTATTGAAACATCTCAATTGTTATTCCCAAATTCCCGGAGTCTTGTTTTTTGCCAGTGTCTTCAGTGTACTTGGAATTCTTCCTTCAATAACATTGATTTTTGATCATATGCTACCTCTTGAAATGTTTGAACGTCAACAGTTCTTTTTGGTACAGTGACTCTGTCATCTTCCTTTGATGCTTCCTGTGTTGTTCAGTATTTTGCCCATAGAATCCTTCAGTATTGCCACTAGAGACTTGAATTTTTTCTTCAGTCTTTTCAGGTTGAGAAATGCCAAGTGCTTTCTTCCCTTTTGGTTTTCTAACTCCAGGTTTTTGCACATTTCATTGTAATAATTTACTTTGTCTTCTCAAGCTGCCCTTTGAAATTTCCTCTTCAGCTCTATCATTTCTTCCATTAGTTTTAGTTACTCTATGTTCAAGAGCAAATTTCAGAGTCTCTTCTGACATCCGTTTTGGTCTTTTCTTTCTTTCCTGTCTTTTTAATGTCCTCTTGCTTTCTTCACATATGATGTCCTTCATGTCATCCCACAACCCGTCTGGTCTTTAGTCATTAGTGTTCAATGGGTCAAAACTATTCTTGAGATGGTCTCTAAATTCAGGTGGTATATACCCAAGATCATATTTTGGCTCTCTTGGACTTGTTTTAATTTTCTTCAGCTTCAATTTCAACTTGCATATGAGCAGTTGATGGTCTGTTCTGCAGTTGGCCCCTGGCCTTGTTCTGACTGATGATATCGAGCTTCTCCAACATCTCTTTCCACAGATACAGTCAGTTTGATTCCTGTGTATTCCATCCAGTGAGGTCCATGTGTTTAGTTGCCATTTTTGTTGTTGAAAAAGGTATTTGCAGTGAATAAGTAGTTGGTCTTGTAGAATTCTATCATGCTATCTCCAAGGTCATTTCTATCATCAAGGCCATATTCTCCAACTACGGATCCTTCTTTGTTTCCAACTTTCACATTCCAATCACTAGTAATTATCAATGCATCTTGATTCCATGTTTGATGAATTTCAGACTGCAAATGTTGTAAAAATCTCCAATTTCTTCACCTTTGATATAAGTGGTTAGTGGGTAAATTTGGATAATGGTAATATGAACTGGTCTTCCTTGTAGGCATATGGATACTATTCTATCACTGACAGCTTTGTACTTCGGGATAGATCTTGAAATGTTCTTTTTGATGATGATTGCGATGCCATTTCTCTTCAATTTGTCATTACTGGCAAAGTAGACCATGTGATTGTCCAATTTAAAATGGTCAATAACAGTCCATTTAAGCTCACTAATGCTTAGGATATCGATCTTTATGTGTTCCATTTCATTTTTGATGACTTGCAATTTTCTTAGATTCATACTTCGTACATTCCACATTCTGATTATTAATGGATGTTTGCATCTGTTTCTTCTCATTTTGAGTTATGCCACATCAGCAAATGAAGGTCCCAAAAGTTTTACTCCATCCACGTTATTAAGGTCGATGCTACTCTGAGGAAGCAACTCTTCCCCAGTCATCCTTTGAGTGCCTTCCAACCTGAGGTGCTCATTTTTGGCACTACATTCGATAATGTTTTTCTACTATTTACAAGATTTCTACTGGCCAATCTTTTTCAGAAGTAGAATGCCAGGTCCTTCTTCCTAGTCTATCTTAGTCTGGAAGCTCTGCTGAAATCTACCCACCATGGTTAACCCTGCTGGTTTTTGAAATACTGTGGCATAGTGTCCAGCATCACAGCAACATGTAAGCCACCACACTAAGACAAACTAATAGACAAGTGGTGGAGAGGAGTTATAGATAAGTTAATTTTCATCAGATGGCCTGCAGATTGTATTAGGTCTACCCTAACATCTTTGATGGTAATTTTGAAGTCAGTTACATATTACTTGCATTAAATCAGCAGGTGGTGAAATTGAATTCATCCCAATAT